TCTTTGGAGAAATGTCTTTTCATGTCTTCTGCCCATTTCTTGACTGGATTGTTTGCTTAGGTGTTGAGTTTGGTAAGTGTTTTATAGATTTTGGATACTAGCCCTTTATCTGATATGTCATTTGCAAATATCTTCTCCCATTCTGTCGGTTGTCTTTTGGTTTTGCTGACTGTTTTCTTTGCTGTGCAAAAGCTTTTTCTCTCGATGAAGTCCCAAAAGTTCATTTTTGCTTTTGTTTCCCTTGCCTTTAGACATGTCTGGCAAGAAGTTGCTGCAGCTGAGGTCAAAGAGGTTCTGCCTGTGTTCTCCTCTAGGATTTTGATGGATTCCTGTCTCACATTGAGGTTTTTCATCCATTTTGAATTTATTTTGGAGTATGGTGTAAGAAAGTGGTCCAGTTTCATTCTTCTGCGTGTGGCTGTCCAATTTTCCCAACTCCATTTGTTGAAGAGACCATCTTTTTTCCAGTGGATATTCTTTCCTGCTTTGTTGAAGATTAGTTGACCATAGAGTTGAGGGTCCATTTCTGGGTTCTCTATTCTGTTCCATTGATCTATGTGTCTGTTTTTGTGCCATTACCATACTGTCTTGATGATTACAGCTTTGTAATACAGTTTGAAGTCCAGAATTGTGATGCTTCCCACTTTGGTTTTTCTTTTTCAACATTCCTTTGGCTATTTGGGGTCTTTTCTGGTTCCATACAAATTTTAGTGTTGTTTGTTCCAGATCTGTGAAAAATGTTGATGGTATTTTGATAGGGATTGCATTGAATGTGTAGATTGCTCTAGGTAGCATAGACATTTTAACAATATTTGTTCTTCCACTCCATGAGCATGGAATGTTTTTCCATTTCTTTGTGTCTTCCTCGATTTCTTTCATAAGCGTTCTATAGTTTTCAGAGTACAGATCCTTTACCTCTTTGGTTAGGTTTATTCCTAGCTCTCTTATGGTTTTTGGTGCAGTTGTAAATGGGATTGATTGTTGGATTTCTTTCTGCCTCATTGTTAATGTATAGAAATATGACTGACTTCTGTGCATTGATTTTATATCCTGTGACTTTGCTGAATTCCTGTATCAGTCCTAGTAATTTTTTGGTGGAGTCTTTTGGGTTTTCTACATAGAGAATCATGTCATCTGTGAAGAGTGAGAGTTTGATTTCTTTGCTGATTTGAATGCCTTTTATTTCTTTTTGTTGTCTGATTGCTGAGGCTAGAACTTCCAGTACTCTGTTGAACAGCAGTGGTGATAATGGACATCCCTGTATATCAGACTTATTGTAAAGATTGGCAGTTAAGCAGAGTGGCATTACTGTGAGGCTATACAAAAGGCCTAATGGAAGACAGTGTAGAGCTCTGAAATACATCCATGCATATGTGGAAATGAACTTCAAACAGAGGTGCACTGCAGACTTGAATTCCACAAATGGAGTTAGAAAAGTTGATTATCCATATTTTAAAAAATAAAACTAACTCCTATTTTACAAAAGACACAAAAATCACTTCCAGACAAAAAATTTGAATGATCCCAGCCTAACAAAAGGTTCTTAAGACACAAAAGGGGAAGATAAAAAGATTGATACATTCAACAATGTTCAAAATAAGAATCTCTTGGGCGCCTGGGTGGCTCAGTTGGTTAAGCGACTGCCTTCGGCTCAGGTCATGATCCTGGAGTCCCGGGATCAAGTCCCGCATTGGGCTCCCTGCTCGGTGGGGAGTCTGCTTCTCCCTCTGACCCTCTTCCCTCTCGTGCTCTCTGTCTACCATTCTCTCTCTCTCAAATAAATAAAATCTTTAAAAAAAAAACAAAAACAAAATAAGAATCTCTTTTCATCAAAGTATACTATAATGAAAGTGAAAGAACCCTACAACTTCGCTTTTCCACTCCTAGATAGATCTTAGAGAAATACCTGAACATCGGTGACATCCAAGAATATGCCTAGTACATTGTTTATAACAGCAAAAACAAAAACAAAAAAGTGGAAGAAACGAATGTTTATTGTTGGGTTTCCTTATACAGTAGAATATTATCACCAGTGAAGACAGTGAACTACAACGGTACACAGCAACATGTGTAACCCTCACAAACTTACTGAGAAAAACAAGCTTAAGAACACATATAGGATGATTTAATGTATGTAAAGTTCAAAACATGCAAAACTAAACAGTATTATTTAGAGATACATATTTATGTTATTTTTAAAAAAGATTTTATTTGTCAGAGAGTGAGTGAGAGAGAGAGAGCACAAGCAGGGGGAGTGGCAGGGAGAGGGAGAAACAGGCTCCCCACTGAGCAAGGAGCCTGATGCAGGACTCGATCCCAGCACCCTGGGATCATGACCTGAGATGAAGGCAGCTGCTTAACTGAGTCACCCAGGCATCCCAATATTTATGTTATGTATGCACACATAAGTCCTGAAAGACATTGATAATGCTCTGTTTCTTCAACTGGGTGGTAGTTACATGCATTTTTGATTTTTATCTTCAAATACCTTTATTTATACAGTTAATCTTCATTATTGTGGATTCCGTATTTGCAAATTCACCTGGTTGCTAAAATTTACTTGTAACCCCCAAAACCTCCCCTCGTGCTTTCATAGTCATTCACAGACATGCACAGAGTAATGAAAATTCTGGGTCACTACACTTACATGTTCCCAGCTGAGGCTGAACAGGCAACCCTGCTCTCATACTGTAAACCAGTGTCCTTTTCATGGTATATTCAATGTTACACTTTTTGCATTCTTGTGCTTTTTGGTGGTGATTTTGCTGTTTAAAATGGCCCTCGAGCATAGTGCTGGGGAGTTGTCTAGTGTTCCTAAGGTATGCTGTGCCTTACGGAGAAAATACATGTGTGGGCGCCTGCGTGGCTCAGTTGGTTAAGCGACTGCCTTCGGCTCAGGTCATGATCCTGGAGTCCTGGGATCGAGTCCCGCATCGGGCTCCCTGCTCATTGGGGAGTCTGCTTCTCCCTCTGACCCTCTTCCCTCTCGTGCTATCTCTCAAATAAATAAAATCTTTAAAAAAAAAAAATACATGTGCTATATAAACTTCATTCAGGCACTAGTCATCATGCTGTTGGCCATGACGTCAATGTTAATAAATCAACAACATATATTAGATCTATATGTTAATATATATTAAATAGAAATACATAAGAAGGTGATGTAAATGTGACTGGAGGCTCCCAGGAACCCAACTGTACTTCCCCTAGGAGTGATGGTTCAGTATTCACAAATTCAGTGTTCTCAGTTACTTTATAGAACTACCTTGAATAAGAAGTGACTGCATATGAATATTGATATTTGCAGGTATGAAATTTGTAATATATTTTCTAAAGAGGCTAGGGCAGTAGGCAGAGGAAAGATCATTTTAGTGGAGACTAGTGGAGACTTATCTATTCAAGAAATAGGGAGTAGCCATGGTGATGGAGAGTGAAATGTTAGGAGTGGTTTCTGGGGTTGTTGTGGAGGTGCAGAAGCCAAGGAGAGGAAGCTGAAGACTCGTACTTACTTTTATGAGTCCTTTTTACACGCCAGGGTGGGAAGCAGTGGAGAGATGTGGAGACTTATTGACATGGAAGTTGGGTCCTCTACGCCTTCCTCTCTAAAGTTCTTCAAGGCCCTGCTGTCTGGGTCTGGGGGTTTGAATAGGTGCTAGTACTGCCAGGGAAAGAAAATGAGGTGTCTGTGCAGGGCAGAGGCCAGTGGGGTTGCAGGGGCCTGTAAGGAGAAGGTCAGAAGGCTGGGAGATCAGTGGGACCATAGCAGAGTGAGGTCTGGAAAAAGTTGTCTCTGTATGATTTGTAGGGCATGTGCTGGCTGGAAGGTCAGGCAAACAGCTGTCCATGTCAGCTAAGAAGCCTGGACTTCATGCTGGAGGAAATAGATTTCTAGGCAAGAGAGTAACATAGCTTTTGTTTTAGAAAGTTCACTCCCACCACAGGATGTTTCAGAACAGACAAGAGGGAGTGGAAATGCAGAGATTAGCAAGGCCTGGATTGAGGTTGTTCAGGGCAGAGATGGTGTGTGTGGGGGGAGGGGTGGAGACCACTGAGGAGATAAACTGATAGGACTGGGTGGCTGATTGCATATAGGGCTGTGGAAGAGGACAGTCTGGTGTGAGGCTTGTGCTCAGACACAGATGTCTGGGTGGAGAAAGCTTTCTGGAAGAAGCAGTTCTGGGCCGAGTCACACAGGTTGATTCACAGCCAAACAAGGCAGGAAAAAGCCCTTTTGGATATGGAACCCATTCACCACCAAAACCTCCAGTCTGCCAGGACTGAAACACATCTAACTGTGGTAGTTTAAAAATATGTCTAAAAGTTTTTGATACTCCTCCCTTCAAGAGGGGTCACCAGAGACCCTAACTTAGAACCAAACAGCTATACTGTTGCTAGATTCCTGATCCTCAGAAACTGTACCAGATGTTTACTGTTTTCGATTTGCTAAGTTTGGTGACAACTTGTTAGGCTGCAATAAATAATACACCAACTATCTGTGATGACCAAATTTCTACCCTCTGAGACCTCCCAGCCCATCCACTGCCTCAGGAAACGACACTCCTACCCCGACTTCCCTGACAGGAATATCATCAGACAGCACTCAGACTCGTGTCCTCCTGAAGCCCCTCGTCCTTCTTGCGGAGGTCTGCTGACGCCTGTGACCCCGGGCAGGGAGGAGGCACCCTGGTCTGTAGTGCGGTAGGGTGGGAGGTCTGCCCTGGGGCCAAGGGGGCAAGGTAGATTGTGGGAGGGGGCTCCCTCTCTGCCCTCTCCCCTGCCGCGCTCATCCAGGCCACCAAGTGCGCAGGCTCTTCCTCTGTTTCTGAAATCCCTCCACATTCCTCAGCCTCACCCGCCCCCAGCCCGTCCGGCCCTCGTCCCAAGACAGCGAGGGATTTTAAAACACACATCTGAGTAGGACCACATCACTCTTCGGATGAACGTCTCTTCCCCTTACGCTCAAAATCAAAGCGGACAGCAGGCTATCCTTCGGCGCCTGCATGACCGGATCTCGCCCAACTCTCCGACCTCGCCTTGCACCGCGGCCCCTGCCCCCGGCCTCCTTCCCGCTAACCGACCAGTCCCGCCGGCCTGGCACGGGCTGCTTTCCGGAGGTCTTTGCTGACCACTCGCCGTCCCGTTTCGGCCGCTATTCACGACGCTTCTCTGTGACGGCTCTTCTCGCCCCACTAGGTGAGCTTTGAGAGGATTCCCTCGTTTGGGGATTGTCCTTCCATCCAGAGCGGTGCCAGCCCAACTGCGCCGGCCGCGCCCAGCGGAACTCGGCGCCGCAGACGCGTTTCCGGAGGAGGGAATTTGGGGTCGGACCTCAGGCCCTACGCAATCTCCGGCGGCGACGGCGGCGCATGGCGGTGAGCTGCGCGGAGAAATCGTGTGGGTGCCAGGGTCTTGGGCCGTCGGCGGCCGCCCGTGACCCTTATGCTGCTCCCCCTTTCTCCAGGCCCTAGGACATCCTGCTCGGGAGAAATCAGCGGCCGAAGGCCCAGGTACCGCCCGCGCGCCCTGCAGCCCCCGGCCCCCGGGATCGCTTCCCAACGCCCCGAGTCCTTCCGCCATCAGATCCCATCCGGTCGGTCTCTGCTTAGGGCTCTCCACATGCAGTGACACCGCCCCCGGGGAGCACCCCGAACGCCGCGGAGGCGCCGCAGCCTCCAAGAAGCAAAAGAAGAAGAAAGTCCGGGATGGAGCCTCGGTGGCGAATGGAGGCGGGAAGGTCTCAGAAAAGCCGACCTCAGAGGAAGCGCCCCTAAGCGCGGAGGCTCAGGCAAGGCGGGCCTCGGTCGGGAAGGGTGGCGATCCATGATGCATCCCGGGTGTGAGTGCGCTGGCCGGCGCGTGTGGTCTCGGAGTTTCGGAGTTAAGGCAGGGGGAGGGATGGGACGGGAGGGTGGGAGGGGTCCCGGTGGGATGGGGCTGGAGGCCGCGGGGTCCTGCTGCCGTCTCATAGCCACTCTCCCCAATTCATCACAGGCGGAGCAGCTGGCCCGGGAACTGGCGTGGTGCGTGGAACAGCTGGAGCTGGGCCTCAAGATGCAGAGACCCAGTCCGAAACAGAGTGAGGAGCCTTTCTGTCGAGTTGGGGGGGAGGGGAACCGTGATAGTGCTGCTATGGCCTGCGGGTGGTGCCACGGGATGGAGTTGTCATTGCTGTAGGACGGCAGGAGGTGAGGATAGAGGTTACTAGTCATTTGTTTTTATTTTCAGAAGAGCAGGCTATTGGGGCAATCCGAACCCTTCGCAGCGAAAGAACCCCCCTGCCCCGGAAGAGGCAGCTGATGCACTCCTTGTTTGGGGACTACAGGGCTCAGATGGAAGCTGAGCGGCGCGAGGCCCTTCGGGTACTCAGAACTGGTGAGAAGTTGATTCCAGAGGGTAGGGAGGAAGAGCCCAGGGAGTGACAGGAAGAAGCCCAGAGTAACAGGGCTGGCGGGGGCGGGCAGGGGGAGGACACCGACTCACTGAGGCCTGGGAGAGCAGGGAGAGAAGAAGCTGGGGCTGTTTTAGAGAGAGAGAGAGAGAGAGTGAGAGACAGCGCTCCGTGGGGAGGGGCAGTGGGAGAGAGAGAATCTCAAGCTGACTCCCCGATGAGAGCAGAGCCTTGTGCTCTATGGGGGGCTGGATCTCCTGACCCTTAGATCATGACCTGAGTTGAAATCAAGAGTCGGAAGCTTAACTGAGACACCCAGGTGCTCCTGTCTCTAGTGGAGTTTGATGATAATACCTTTACTAAACTTTTGAGCAGTGAATCAGTTTTCTGTCCCAAGGGGTTAGAGTTGAATGGGCGCAGGTAATGTTAGCTGTTCTGACTGTTCTGACACTGTCTGTCCCCTCCCCCACAGCAGCCCGCACAGCACAGGTGCAGCCTGTAGGTGAGGCCACCAGAAAGAAGAGTGGAAGGGTCTGCAGGCCTCGCCAGGCAGGGGTAGCCAAGGCCACACTGGACACTCCTGATAAAGAGTTCAGGTTCAATTTCCTTTAGCTTGTCTTCCGTCCTGGAACACTTTCCCTGCCCAGGTACTGTGGGGGTTTGTCTTGAGTGCAGAGCCTTTCCAGGAATGCTCTGTCAGACAGATGTGGGGTTGGTCTGTCCATGGCTGGTCGTTGGATCTGGTGCCATGGCTGTGGGACAGATGTGAGACCAGCCTATTGGGTACTGTCAGATAAGCACAAGACACATTTGTAGGTTTTCAGATGAAATGTTCTTCCTGTCAGGAGAAGGAGGTCCTTTTAGAAAAGATTCTACAATAACCTGAAATGAGTGTTCAGCATGTTGTAGAAAGAATGTTTTACTCAGTCTAGGCTGAGATTAAGCAGCTGTTTGTAGTAAGGACTATGGAGGAAGCTGTATAACCATATGCTGGTGCTCGAATGTCCTGTCAAATGGTGTAGTGCTTTATCTCATAATGTCATGTTGCACTAATAAAACTATTTTTTGTAAAAATGGATTAGTGAATTCGTGTGCTAACCCATCTGAGTACAGATGAGGCAGGCATCTGGCATGGTTGGGTTCCAGGCTCACCACAATGCTTGGTCCTTAGTATTGCCCTCATTCCTGAGCATATCTCATCCTCAGGGAGCCAGTGTGGCTCCCAGAAGGCCAGGCTTTGTTTTTAGGTGCAGAGAGCTTCTTGTCCTCACAATCCTGGCTGAAGACTGGGGCTGAGCCTCAGTAGATGACCTCTCCAGACCTTGGCTGCTCCAAATGATAGTCCCAGGACTTTTGTTGCATCGAATCGGGTGGCTTCATGCAGTTGTGATGCCATCTTTGCTGGTGTCTCCCAAGCTTGCGTCCCAGACTAGATAGATACCTGGAGCCCAGCTGCCTACCCAGCATTTCTCCTTTGATGTTTCATGGGCATTTCATACTTGACGTGTCCAAAACATTTGATTGTCCCCTAAATCTCCCTTTGTCTTCTGCTTTTGAGTGAATGGCCCTACTGCCCACCTAGTTGATTAGGCCAAAAACCTGTGTCATCCTTTCTTGCTTTCCTTCTCCCACACAAGTGTTCAATATTTTAGCTGGTATGTGAGTTCTGTCTTCAAACTACATCTCTAATCTTTTGTACTTTCTCTTCATTGCTCAGCATTCTAGTCCTGGCCCTGGCTCTTCCCCTGACTGCTGTGTGAGCCTCCCGGTTAGTGTCAATACGTCGCTTTTGCCTCTTGTGTGTTCAGTGCAGCCAGTGGTCCTCCATGTATATTGATTGGGTCCTATTTCTCTGATCTAGTGACTTTGTTGTACCTAGGATACAATGCGAAGGCTGGTGGACAAAGTCCCACTTAGGGCCTGCACACATTTAGGCTCCTGACCACCTCTCTGATGTGGCCCCCTTTTCTTGTTCCCACCTTGCTGGCTTCTTGTCTGCTCCTGAGATAACCAACTCAGTCCTGCCTCAACGGTTTCAATCCTGCTATGATGTTCACTAAAAGTTCACTTGTATCAGGTCTTGGACTCTAGGGAACATGGTGCATGGAGAATGGGAAACAGGAATCATCTGAAGACAAGAGATGGGAGGGCACTGTTTAGCCTCTGGGCCATCAACCCTGCTTCCCTCTTAGGTCATTTTTCTACTCAGGATGCTCCTTTAGCTTGTACCCAGCTGTGTTCTTGGTGGTGTTTCATCCATGGCTTGCATGTTGGGCAACCACAGCTAAGTCACACCCCTTACCCTGGCTGCAGTTTACCCATCTATAAATGGGGTGGGTGTAGGTGGTGCTAGGTGAGGTTAACTGGCCTACCTACACCGCTGTCAGGCCTCGGTGTTCTGGTCTATGCAACAGGCCCTGCTGTGTGGGGGTCTCAACAGCAGCTCCATAGCTCTGCAGCTCATGTTTGGTTCTTCCTAGTGACCTTCGCAGCAACACCCACATGTCTGACACAAATACCACTGGACGATGATCATTTGTTCTATGAACTTTTTTTTTTTTAAAGGTTTTATTTGACAGAGTGTACGATTGGGGGGACTGGTGGAGGGAAAGGGAGAAGCAGACCTCCCGCTGAGCAGGGAGCCCGATGTGGGACTCCATCCCAGAACCCTGGGATCATGACCCAAACCAAAGGTAGATGCTCAACTGACTGAGCCACCCAGGCGTCCTTGTTCTACAAACTTTTATCAGCACTTGCTCAGTTCCCCATGGCCTATTCCAAGGACTATATTCTTTCTAGCAGCTGGGGGTCCTCCCCCTTATTTGAGTCCCATTGTCTCCTGAAAAATGGAGGTGTATCACCTACCTTCTGGGTGTCTGGCCAGGATATGCCAACATCCCCCAAGGTTTTGGAAGCCCCTTTAATGCCCACATGCAACTGCACATGCCCCAGGTATCTTGGGGTTCCCAGGAAGCCCCCAGCTTAGTTTGCCCACTTGCTGTGCCCCTGTGGGACTCACCAAAAGCTGGGCCCTCTGGCCTAAAACTCTCCAGTTCTGCCCTTCCAGTCCTTGGCTCAGCTGTTCCCCCCCCGCCCACCCTGATCTCTGGTGATGTGGACACCCCACATGGGGAGCTTCAGAAACAGGTGACACTCAGCCCTTTTCCTGTTTACTTAGAAGGGGAGACAAACCATGAGAGACTCTTGGCTCCAGGAAAAAAACAGTGTTGCGGAAAAGGAGGTGGATGGGGGGTTGGGGTAACTGGGTGATGGGCATTAAGGAGAGCATGTGACGTGATGAGCACGGGTATTATATCCAACTAATGAGTCACTGAATATTATATCAAAAACTAATGATGTATTATGTGTTCACTAATTGAATTAAAAAAAAAAAAAAGGAATGCTAGTTTCTTACAGTTCTCAATAGTGAATTCCAGAGGAGTAGAAGATAGAAAGCTGTAAACTAACCTTTAGGAATGCTCGGAAAAAAGTAGAAAGACCTGTTTGAGACTGGAGTATGGGAAAGACTTTTGTAAATAAGGAAAATAGGAAAGTGAAATAAAGCCTGGTGACAGAGAAGTGGTTCAAGAAATGGAATGTAAAATGAGATCACTGCACACCTGGTAAGGAAAGATTTGCAGAATTTTGTAAAAGATTGCATATCTCGGCTCAGAGTGTATGTGTCCCTGAAGCTGGGAGACCTTCCTAGCCAGATTAGAGACACTTGCAGTAGGGAATGCCAGAATTAGAGGCCCCATGACACCGATCCACACCTCACTTTCCTTCCTGGTGTGGTGAACCTGAAAGCCATGACTACAATGATGGTTTTGGCCAAAACAATGGAAAGACCTATGGTAAACACACACTAAATGTGCATTGCCAGTGGATGCAGGTGGCTGTGTTGGGGGTCGATGAAGAGTTAGGAGCAGAGGAGGCACAGGGCGAGGGAGATGAGGATGTAGCTGAGGGATTGGTTGTTGATCGACTCAGAGCTTCACAAAGACCCCCCAGGTCAAAAACCAGAAAGATCACAGTTTTGGGGGGTGGCAATCTCTCTTACTGTTTGCATAGTGATTGTCTGCACACTTCACACAGGGGTCTGTGTGATGAGAAAGCAGAGATGTAATGTCTCAGGTTCAGTAATTCTTACATATCCCCACTAAAAAAACACAGTTATGTTGGAACATTTGGACATAGTTCCCCATACAGCTACAGGGAAGGTCCTTCATGCATAATTTTAGGTTTACATTGCCCATTCCCTGATAATTTTATGGAAAAAATATTTCCTCTTAAGTGTACAAGGGAGGTATTTATTTTGTCTTTTATGGGGAAATTATAATAGATTGTTATAAATATCATTTCTTCTGGTTATGTCTTCGGTATGCCTTCTGATGTTGATTGGTTTTTGGAACCCCCCCCACAATCGAACACTGATATGTGAGAATAGTTGATTTTTATTAGGTTCAATAATGGTATTGTGGTTCTGTGGAAAATTGTGCTGGTATTTTTGGAAGTGCATACTGAAATAGTTAGGTGTGCAGTGTTGTTATGTCTAATTTATAATATTTTACAATATAAAAATATGAAGCAAATATAGCTAATTATTAATAATTAAGTCTAAATGATGTGTACATGGCATCCACCACACCATTCTCTTCACTATATTTGAAACATTTCCTATTATGTCACAAAAGAAGAAAAGCCAAATCACCAATGGCAAATCCTCCTAAGTTTAAAATATATTTACCTTTACTTTTACTGGGTCAATATTCATTAATTTCTTATCCCCCATGTGAATTTCTACTGTAAGTTTAAACAATATGAATTCCTAATAAAAAACAAAATGATTTTGTCAAATTTAGTTAGTAAATTCTGCCATAAGATGGCAGTTTCCCATCATTTATTCCTGACAGCAGTGTTATAGTGTCCTTGTCCCATTGTCATCTCTGAACAATGCCATTGATAGGGATTTTGGGGTGGCACCAACTTCCTGTACAGTTTGGAGGCCAATTCTGTAGTGTGATTTGGACATTGTCCTGGAGGCTTACTAGGTCTCAAACCTGTTTATCTAACCCTCTTGATGCTTCTCTGAGCTTCGTATCACTTCCTATACAAAACAGACACATTTGAAAACTGTAATTTAAAGAATCCACGGCTGCTCTTAGGTCTCATTTAGTATATTTTTCAGTAGCTAGACAGCTCCTAGGTCTCTTCAGCCTGTTGAAACTTCCCATTTCTTTTTTTTTTTTTTAAAGATTTTATTTATTTATTTGAGAGAGAGAGAATGAGAGATAGCACGAGAGGGAGGAGGGTCAGAGGGAGAAGCAGACTCCCTGCTGAGCAGGGAGCCCGATGCAGGACTCGATCCCGGCACTCCAGGATCATGACCTGAGCCGAAGGCAGTCACTTAACCAACGGCCACCCAGGCACCCGAACCTTCCCATTTCTGAGACATCAACACCCTGCAAAACATTTTTGGTAACCTCATTGGATTTGTTAAATCAATGAGGCAAATTTTATTCAAGCGCAATAACATTTTCAAGGTGGGAAGTGAATGAGTAGGAATTAACCAGGCAAGGTAGTTGGTGAGGGAATCAAGAATATAGGGGGCGCCTGGGTGGCTCAGTCGTTAAGCACCTGCCTTCGGCTCAGGTCATGATCCCAGGGTCCTGGGATCGAGTCCCACATCAGGCTCCCTGCTCGGCAGGAAGCCTGTTTCTCCCTCTCCCACTCCCCCTGCTTGTGTTCCTGCTCTCACTGTCTCTTTCTCTGTCAAATAAATAAATAAATAAATAATCAAGGATAT